AAAGATGGGCGTTCTGGAGAGAACCTGATGGAGTGAAGCAGTTAATCAAGAACAGACAGTTGGAGTTGAAACTAGAGAATGCTGGCCTGATGTTTTGTTTGGAGTTGAGTGTTTTGCCTGGTTCTGTCAAGATGAGATTATTGGAGGGGGTTCACAGTTGTAGGTTTCCATGTTTGATTGCAATTCCTTCAGGATTTTCAGAATTTTAATAGCTATTCCAATAATAATAATAATAATCAATTTTGTCCCTATCGTTTAATTTAATTTGCTGTCGATGAAATCCACAAAAAAGTTGACACATTTCGGATACTCTTTGTTCACTATTTTCTAAAGAATCAATTCCTGAGGACATTCAACATAATATTCCAGGCATTTCCAGGAATGCTTCCAGATGTATTAATCTAAAGTCATTTATATGATCCATCAACTCAAAATGTGAAAGCATTGATTTTGTAAACAAGCATTTCAAATAATCAGACTCGCATCAGAATTATCAACCGTTGAAAAACCTGAGAATATGAGAAAAGGAAGAAACTACGTGCGAATTAACTAAGCTAAATAGTTCTTGTAAGATCAAATCAATGCCATGTCAAACCAGCAATGGAGAATAAGATGTTCACTAAATAAACTTTCCCTGGAATCAATTCTTCTGCAAATGGGCCTTGAAACTGAAAGAATCTACACATGCATTTATGTTTCAAAAGTCATTGCTTCAGGTGTCAAACGATAGGGAAAAATTGCTATGTTGTCTAAAATTAAGTTGAAACGAATTGCAAAATCATAACCAAAGTAATTAGGCTTCAACAATCTTCTCCTTTTGTTATGAACTTCTGACTGCTGCATAAGAACAAAGGCAAATCCTGGTTTTTTCAACAGGTTGGCAAAGAGAGTCATCAGTTCCATCTGTCGACGTTCCAATACTTTAGCCGCTCACTTAATGACTGTAATTGAAATGCAAACCCCTGATTTTCACACTCATACCTCTGTAGCTCCAACTGAGTAAACTCTTTCTCTTCAGTTTCAATTTTCCTCTCAAATTCATTTCTTTCAGTTATAGTCAATGGAATGCTAAAATTCCCTTGATTCTGCACGGAATGACTATGACATGGCTTGCGTCGGTAAATATTTTTAAAAGATGTCTCTGTCCTCTTATAAATTCCTCATTTGCAAACTCCCACACTCAGGATCAATCTTCCAAATCCTGATAAGACAATACAAGCTCGTCCAATAATTCACCATCAACGCCAAAAAAAATTTAAAATATCATTGCTAGACAGAACACATACAAAGTGCTCTGACTTGAGAACTAAAGTAGAAATATTACACATAGAGGCAACAATTAGTACACAAAAGTTATAAATTCTAAACAGTATGAAATCCTAAGTAGAGTTTGAAGATACAAATCGTTTTCCTCTACAAACAACAATTATTTCCAAAATTAAATAGAATAAATGCGTATCTGAAGCAAAGTGAAAACAGAAAAAGAACTTACATACGTATTGAGCTGCCTTACAAAGCTTGAAAAATTGGTGCTTGAAATACTTGGGCAGCAAATCTCTTGAAAAATCCGGAGGATTCCACACAATAAAGCTACAACCACTCAAACTCCAGGACACCAATGAATTGGTTATTGGATCATCTACCCTCTATGTCTTGTGAGAAAAGGAGCCGGCGTATTTGAACACCCTGTCCATGTGATTCTTCCATAGCTATTTGATTAAATTTCATCAAACGAAAGTGGGTTTTAGGAAAACAAAGTAAGGTAAAAACCCCAGAAGCCAAACCATGAAAGATGATCGAATATATTGGAAAGAGAAGCAATCTAATTGAAAAACTGGTGAAAAAGCAAGAAGAGATAGTATAGTCAGAACACATGTAAGAGAAAGAAGACAAGTTTGACTTTTTTTCATTACCTATTTCTACAAGTAATGTGGGAATACATTATTCTAGTTTTATTTATTATTTACTTTTTTGAATTTTCAAAGTCTCCTCTCCTGTCTAGTCTTTGTTGGAGTGAATAAATATTAAATTATAAAAGACTACATTGACCGACTGAAATACCGACGAACTCTGACTGACGTGTCAGCTATGAACATATGCCATACGTCAGATACGTCCAAAAACTTAAAAAAAATTTAATTCCCTCCAAATCAAAAATCTCTCCCAAAAATTTACACCCTCCTAAATCAAATTTCATTATTCCCCTAAATCAAATCTCTCTCCAAAATTGAAATTGCTCTCCCACCACCACCACCCTGCCACCAGCACGCGGGCTATCGTCTTCCACCACCACTGCAGTAGTCATTCGGTCTGCCTCTTCCACCAACGCTCTATCCTTTACAGGACCCACACTTTTCGAGCCTACCAACACCGCGTCTGTCCTCTAACACCACACACTCGCAGTAGTCCATAACGGAAAAATTACGGCTTTGGCGGGTCGGATTGCGACGTGTACCTCTTCGTACGACTCGCAAGAGTGAGAAAGGGAGGAGGATCTGTGACCTAGCTAGTGGTAAATCATTTTTTTTTTTAGATTGAAAAGTGCATGGGAGACTCTGAGGTAGACGTTGACAATCCTGTTCTGAAAGAAGAGCAGATGTCCAGGTAATATTTTGTACTGTATTAAATTTTAGTACATCTTGATATGTTTCAGTATGTTTAGGCACATAAAGTTACATTATGCAATGCTTTTCTTTTCCCTTTCTGTTTCAAAATTGGTGTTCTTAGCTCAGTTATACATAACCACGTTGATAAGAGCACTTTCTGTAAGTTGGTAAAAGGATCAAGGGGTGATGTAACCATCACAATAGAGGTCTGTATGTGATGTATGTTTTGTAGATAAAATGTGAAGTTTTTCCCTTTACTGAAGTACGTGGGCTTCTTGCAGTAAAGTTGGAGAAAGTGTGTCCTAGGGCCATTTGTGCTGGTTTTGAGGAACCAACTGAGCCAACTGTTTGTTGTGTGGTGGTAAGCTTTAATTTTAGTCTGATACTAATTAGGGAAAATTTTTGGGTCATATAAGTTTATCCGGTGCAACAATTGAAGTCTCAAACTTCAATACTTAAGTGCGCTAATGAATCTTGAAATTGGAGAGGTTAGAACATATTCAAGACCCTTTGGTGGGAGTTGGAACCTTCACTGAGTATGGTTTAACTCTTGGAGATGTGTTTGTTTTGAACATAAGTTCTCAGTGTACTAATGTGGTTGAGTTGTTGTATCTTGCACAGGGATCAAAAGAACATAGATTTCAGGAAGTTGGATGCTCATGTCATCAACTAAAGGGCAACAGCTCCATTGATGTATGTTATAGTACGAAATTAATGATTTCCTAAAGGAAAATAGCACCCTGCTCAATGAAATTCAGTCTTCTAAGATCTGTTTGTTTTGTTTTGTTTCTGTTTCTGGAAGCCAAATTTAACTGATTTTGCTGTTTTTAATAAAAAGACGAAGATTAAGCTTAGTAAAGGGTTCAATATGATAACAAAAGCTCATAGAGATTTTGGTTATCAGCACAAGAATCACAACCTATCCAAACATCTACTCAGAGCCTCGAACCAATCCAATCAAGGTCTCAGGATGGAGTCTCACATCTAAGAACATCTAGTTTAGCTCTAAGACTCAGAAATTTGAACATTTTTACACAAGTACATACTACATACCCTTAATGATGGTGTCTTGTGACAGAGAGAGACAGGAGATGATGAGCCGACGCCCGACGACAATAAAGAGAGGAGATGACGAGCCGTCGAGGATGAATGACGGCGATCGGCGACGGTGGGTCTAGGAATGGGATCACGATTCACAGATGAGAGTGATGAGTAATGAGAGTGATGAGTAATGAGAGTCTACTGAAGTGAACACTAAACAGAGTGATGAGATGAGAGATAGAGAGAATGAATTAGTGACAGTGATGAGAGATTCAGAGGCGCGAGAGAGAAGAGAAAGTTTGTTTTAGAGTTGGGTGGCGTTAGTGCCTTAGTGGGTTAGGGACTTAGGGTTCAGCTTTGAAAAAAACGGGTACCCGCGGGTTTACCAATGTTACCTATCAAAAAACGGGTCGGACCGGGTACAGGTAGAAATTAAACGAGTCCAACATATTAAACCCATACCCTATATTTTTTACCTGGGTATGGGCTGACCCGCGGGTCTGTACCCGTTTTGTCAGGTCTAATAAATAGACTCCCACGATGCATATACATAAAATTAAAATTAAATTGTTTCTTTTCTATGACAGTTTTAAAAGCTTCTCCTTCTTTTTCTTTTTCTTTTTTTCTTCCAACTTTTACATATCCTATTTTATGTTATTAATGGGTTTGATAGGGAGAAAAGTACTGAGTAGTTGAGGTTCACACAAACTGACTGAGAAACCCTGTTTTTTTTTTTTTTTTTTTCGTTAAAGTACTAAAGATCTTGATTTGATAAGCGACTCAAGATTTTGAACTAACCGTGTATAAAAATCATGGAGTTATTTACTCTTCTTATTTATATAAACAAATTAGAGGTAAAAGATTTCATACTAATTTTATTTTGTTTTTCTAATGAAGGATATATTTTTTACCGTGTCAATATCAAAAAGGAACTTGCTTTTGATCACCCTTTCACTAAAAAACCATAATATTCGGATATATCTAACATGTATAGATAGATGATACAAATAATAAGATAAGTTTTTCCTTTTAACTTCCTTGATTCTTTAACCTAATCACAAACTTCAATCATTCAATTATATATAAAATCTGCATGTTATTCAGCAGCTACTTAGAAAAATATAAAGGCTTGAAGTGGACTGATGCATTTAGGTGTACATCCACATGGACAGTCAGTGCTCTCCCCTTGTTACACAATCGGCTCTTCTAGTGTAGCAGATTCTTCGTGTCAACCCAACCTGCTTAAACTGTGTCGGGTTGGCGTGTTATGACCCGTTTTGCTACCCCTACTTGTTACACAATCGGTTCTTTTAATGTAGCAGATTCTTCTTTAACATAAACAAACTCATAAAAGATAAAGAAAGAAAAGCTATTTTTAATTAAAATATAAGTTCTAAACAAGGAAAAATATATCAACAGAAGCATGCACCAATTAATCCTTTGATGCTGTAACTTAGTGTTATATACATACAAAACTGATGCACCAAAACAATCAAGTCAGAAAGTGTCAAGTCTATCACCTTCTCACTAATTAAGTACAATATATACCAACCAACCAAGACATCATGCTGAATGTATCAAACAATACATACTATGTTCGTCCAGCAGAAGTAAGCTTCCCAAAATGTATTGTAAGGTTATCTAATTTGTTTTTGTTCCACCAGAAATTTCTGTGATCAGCTCCCTTGCTAACAATGGCCCCGCCCTCAGTAGCCCCATTTTCTGACTTGATCTCCTGCGCATTTAATGAGGCTGCAGGGGTGTCTGTGAGGAACTGCTCCCAGAACATATCATTCATTCCAATTTTTACAGAAGAATTTGCTGACTCTATCACCTCTTTGCTTAATGCCTCAGCCTCAGAAGCACTAGCAGGCTTCAAAATTACATCAGTCCCTAGAGGTTTTGGTTTTTCATCAACGTTTAAACACATAGATGATATGGTAGGGCCACGACCATCCATATGATCCTCATATGAATGAATTTCCATTGAATGGGGAGAGGACAAATTTGATTTTGGTGAACAATGTTGACCATACACATCCTGATCTTCCGAGGATGTGCCCTCATCTGAAACAATGACTGCAGGAACTGATGGCAACACACCAAAATCATATACATCTTGACTAAAAGCTCCATTGATCCCAAGTAGAAAACTCGCCCAAAAATTGACAGACGATTCTAACTTTTCAATTTGTTCTAAATTCGAAATGGAAGCAGAAACTGCATCTTGGTTTTCCTTCTGGTCAGTCAAACTCCAGTTTTTATCCATATTGGATTCATAACCAAAGTAATTAGGCTTCAACAATCTTCTCCTTTTGTTATGAACTTCTGACTGCTGCATAAGAACAAAGGCAAATCCTGGTTTTTTCAACAGGTTGGCAAAGAGAGTCATCAGTTCCATCTGTCGACGTTCCAAATACTTTAGCCGCTCACTTAATGACTGTAATTGAAATGCAAACCCCTGATTTTCACACTCATACCTCTGTAGCTCCAACTGTAGTAAACTCTTCTCTTTCTTCAGTTTCTCAATTTTCCTCTCAAATTCATTTCTTTCAGTTACAGTCAATGGAATGCTAAAATTCCCTTGATTCTGCACGGAATGACTATGAACTGGCTTGCGTCGGTAAATATTTTTTAAAAGATGTTTCTGTCCTCTTATAAATTCCTCATTTGCAAACTCCCACACCTCAGGATCAATCTTCCTAAATCCCTGATAAGACAATACAAGCTCGTCCAATAATTCACCATCAACGCCAAAAAAAATTTAAAAATATCATTGCTAGACAGAACACATACAAAGTGCTCTGACTTGGAAGAACTAAAGTAGAAATATTACACATAGAGGCAACAATTAGTACACAAAAGTTATAAATTCTAAACAGTTATGAAATCCTAAGTAGAGTTTGAAGATACAAATCGTTTTCCTCTACAAACAACAATTATTTCCAAAATTAAATAGAATAAATGCGTATCTGAAGCAAAGTGAAAACAGAAAAAGAACTTACATACGTATTGAGCTGCCTTACAAAGCTTGAAAAATTGTTGTGCTTGAAATACTTGGGCAGCAAATCTCTTGAAAAATCAGGAGGATTCCACACAATAAAGCTACAACCACTCAAACTCCAGGACACCAATGAATTGGTTATTGGATCATCTACCATCTCATATGTCTTTGTGAGAAAAGGAGCCGGCGTATTTGAACTACCCTGTCCATGTGATTCTTCCATAGCTCAATTTGTATTAAATTTCATCAAACAGAAAGTGGGTTTTAGGAAAATCAAAGTAAGGTAAAAACCCCAGAAGCCAAACCATGAAAGATGATCGAATATATTGGAAAGAGAAGCAATCTAATTGAAAAACTTGGTGAAAAAGCAAGAAGAAGATAGTATAGTCAGAACACATGTAAGAGAAAGAAGACAAGTTTGACTTTTTTTCATTACCTATTTCTACAAGTAATGTGGGAATACATTATTCTAGTTTTATTTATTATTTACTTTTTTGAATTTTCAAAGTCTCCTCTCCAGTCTAGTCTTTGTTGGAGTGAATAAAATTATAAAAGCTTACATTGACCGACTGAAATACCGACCGACACATCTTGACTGACGTGTCAGTCTATGTGACATATGCCACACGTTAGATTCACGCCCAAAAACTTTTAAAAAAAAATTTTAATTCCCTCCAAATCAAAAATCTCTCCCGAAAATTTCACACTTTCTCCTAAATCAAATTTCACTCATTCCCCTAAATCAAATCTCTCTCCCAAAATTGAAATTGCTCTCCCACCACCACCACCCTACCGCCAGCACCGCGGGCTATCGTCTTCCACCACCACCACCAGTAGTCATTCGGTCTGCCTCTTCCACCAACGCTCTATCCTTTACAGGACCCACACTTTTCGAGCCGCTACCACCACCGCCGTCTGTCCTCTAACACCACCACCACTCGCAGTAGTTCATAACGGAAAAATTACGGCTTTGGCGGGTCGGATTGCGGCGTGTACCCTCTTCCAGTACGACTCGCAGGAGTGAGAAAGGGAGGAGGGTCTGTGACCTAGCTAGTGGTAAATCATTTATTTTTTTTAGATTGAAAAGTGCATGGGAGACTCTGAGGTAGATGTTGACAATCCTGTTCGGAAAGAAGAGCGGATGCCCAGGTAATATTTTGTACTGTTATTAAATTTTAGTACATGTTGATATGTTTCAGTATGTTTAGGCACATAAAGTTACATTATGCAATGCTTTTCTTTTCCCTTTCTGTTTCAAAATTGGTGTTCTTAGCTCAGTTATACATAACCACGTTGATAAGAGCACTTTCTGTAGGTTGGTAAAAGGATCAAGGGGTGATGTAACCATCACAATATCGAGGTCTGTATGTGATGTTATGTTTTGTAGATAAAAATGTGAAGTTTTTCCCTTTACTGAAGTACGTGCTGCTTCTTGCAGTAAAGTTGGAGAAAGGTGTTGTCCTGAGGGCCATTTGTGCTGGTTTTGAGGAACCAACTGAGCCAACTGTTTGTTTGAGTGGTGGTAAGCTTTAATTTTAGTCTGATACTAATTAGGGAAAATGTGTTACACTTGTTGGGTCATATATAGTTTATCTGGTGCAACAATTGAAGTCTCAAAGCTTCAATTCTTAAGTGCGCTAATTGAATCTTGAAATTGGAGAGGTTAGAACATATTCAAGACCCTTTGGTGGGAGTTGGAACCTGCACTGAGTATGGTTTAACTCTTGGAGATGTGTTTGTTTTGAACATAAGTTCTCAGTGTACTAATGTGGTTGAGTTGTTGTATCTTGCACAGGGATCAAAAGAACATAGATTTCAGGAAGTTGGATGCTCATGTTCATCAACTAAAGGGCAACAGCTCCATTGATGTATGTTATAGTACGAAATTAATGATTTCCTAAAGGAAATATGCACCCTTGCTTCAATGAAATTCAGTCTTCTAAGATCTGTTTGTTTTGTTTTGTTTCTGTTTCTGGAAGCCAAAATTTAACTGATTTTGCTGTTTTTAAACTCAACTTTATTTTTATTGAGTTTTTGATCTGTTGGTTAATAGTCATTGATTTGGATACTGTTTGACTGATGGGTTCAAAGTTAAAATTGGAGTAATTAGACTGGTTCAATTTTGTTTCCTTGGTTACTTTGATCTGATTTCTGTCGTGGCTTGATTCATTAGAGTTTTTTAATGGTTTCATTTATAGCATTTTCAATTTGAGTCATTTTTACAGCTTGTTATATTTCTTTAGAGATATTATTGATAGTATGAGTGATTGCAAAGTGTTTGTGGTGAAAAATGATTGATTAGTTGCTCTCTGAATTGTTGTAAGTTTTTTTGTTTTATTTTATAAATCTTACTGTATATTAAAATAGTTTTTTAAAGTTAAATGCATAATTGTTCAGTTCATCAGAAGCTACTTTTGGACCTCATTGAAGTTTTTATTGAAATTGGTTGATTCTTAATATTATTATCTCCCTTTTGGCATCTGGAGGAATTTGTAGAAATTATTTTTTGGGCCGTTGTATGTTATTTTGATGTCATTCTTTTGGAAACTTTATTTGTTTGTAGAAATATTCTTTGTTTGAGTCTTTTTTTAGACTGAGTTGACTGCATTAGCTTACATATATATTTTGATGTTACAGCCTCTGTCAGTTGAGTTAGGACCTGGAATTTGGGAAATATTTTTTATGGCATTCAGGTTTGTAGCTAAACTTCTGTTATTCTCATTTCAATGAGTCCAAAGATGGGCGTTCTGGAGAGAACTTGATGGAGTGAAGCAGTTAATCAAGAACAGACAGTTGGAGTTGAATCTAGAGAATGGTGGCCTGCTGTTTTGTTTGGAGTTGAGTGTTTTGCCTGGTTCTGTCAAGATGAGATTATTGGAAGAGGCTTCACAGTTGTAGGTTTCCATGTTTGATTGCAATTCCTTCAGGATTTTCAGAATTTTAATACTGCTATTCCAATAATAATAATAATAATCAGTTTTGTCCCTATCGTTTAATTTAATTTGCTGTCGATGAAATCCACAAATAAGTTTGACACATTTCGGATACTCTTTGTTCACTATTTTCTAGAGAATCAATTCCTGAGAACATTCAACATAATATTACAGTCATTTCTATGATCCATCAACTCAAAATGTGAAAGCATTGATTTTGTAAACAAGCATTTCAAATAATCAAACTGGCATCAGAATTATCAACCGTTGAAAAACCTGAGAATATGAGAAAAGGAAGGAAGAAACTACGTGCGAATTAATTACGCTAAATAGTTCTTGAATGATCAAATCAATGCCATGTCAAACCAGCAATGGAGAATAAGATGTTCACTAAATGAACTTTCCCTGGAATCAATTCTTCTGCAAATGGGTCTTGAAACTGAAAGAATCTACACATGCATTTATGGTTCAAAAGTCATTGCTGCAGGTGTCAAACGATAGGGAAAAATTGCAATGTTGTCTAAAATTAAGTTGAAACGAATTGCAAAATATTAAAGTAGTTCTAAAATTTAGGTGATTCAACCAAGTTCTTGGGACGAAAATTATTTTCAACAGTTTATTGATATATAAAGAGCTCCATCAAGAAAAGCGAATAGCATACAACAATGTTCATGTTCTCTTTATGAATCTAAGCTTTACCCCGTGCTTGAACTTGAAGTTGAGGACTATGCCATATTCAAGTTCAATAGGTTTTTCCATATTGGGAGAATGTCGAAATAAATATTTCATATATAAATNGCAAGAGGAAAAGATAATAAAGAAATAGAGTCAATTCATCCACCTTTAACAGAAGTAATGATTCCCTATAAAGGAGTAGAAATTAAGGCTTCACCTTTTAAAGTCAAAGAAAATTTAAGTGAAATATCAAAAAATGATATAAAAAATATTTATCAACAAAATAATTATGCAAACCAATGTTTGAATACTATTAGCGAACAACTAACTAGAATTGAAGACATTGTAGCAAAACCCATCCTATGCCTCTTTTGCAGGGAATCTCTGACTCTTCAATATTATGTCAGATATTCTCTGAAGCTGATGTCGGTTTTTTGGCCAGTCTAACAAGAACTTAAAAACCACCTCAAGACTATTCTTTCACAACTCCAAGATGAAGAAGAGGAAGTAGAAGAAGAAGATGGAGAAGAATCTTACCGAAGCTCTAGTGCCTCGGTCAATCTCGCCCAGAGCAATGAAGATGACTGTTATGGAATCATCTAACTTATTCCAAACAGTTTGAAATTACCGCTTCTCTCAAAAAGAAGACTGGCCAAAAAACCGACATCAGATATATAGGTCATAATTCTAATCAAACTTGTCCGAATTATAATTCCTCATGGTCCTTGTTTATTTTATAAAACGCTACTGTCATGGCATGATTAGATGCACAGAGAAAATTTAAGTTGATGTAGTGATTCCAAATAAGGCTCTCTCACATGAAAATATTGAGAAAACAAATTACTGATCAATCCAACCCATTGTTTTTCCTAAAATTCACTGGCCTAAGAATTCAGCAATTCCATACCATCTTTTTCTTCCCCCTTAACCAGTAAATGTTCCCTCCTCAATTCAAGGTGCATCAGATTCAAATATTCACAATAATATTACACAATTCAATGTGATTTTCTTTTCTTTCCCATTATTTTTTCTCTAAATACTTGGTAAGCAGCAATCACATTCTTTGCAAGTAAATATTCACAATAATATTACACATATAAAAGTAAATAATTTTCCTATAAGAGAAAAAAAAAATTAGAAACAGATACCAGCTAAAATCACGTGTCTGCTAAAAAGTAAATATAAATCGAAATATTATAACATTAACATCATTTCCTTGGTTTAGTCAGCAGAACTCGCAAGTTTATGATATGTGAAAGAAACGATGATTCTCAAATAATGCATTCATCAGATTAAAATTCATCTCTTAATTAAACTTACACAAATATAAGGGCTACATTTAAAACAATCTCACCTTCACAGTGGCTGTAGCCAACTCATTTGAACTACACACCATTAACCAGGGGGCATTCACATACCCTCCCACGGAGTGTATCCTATCCTGTTAGAAGCATAAACAACTCGATAACTCAGCTAAATAAATAAACAAAAAAATATCAATTGTAACAAATATGAAACAAAACAATAACCCGCCAAGCCAAACGGTTACATCCATACCTTGCAGGCTGTGATGTTGGCTCCTTTATCTTGCCAGCAACCCCGGCCACTATTGTCCAAGCACTCATTTGTCTCTACATCTGCCATAGAAAAATGTCCACTCATGAACTTACGTTCAAAACAAACACATCTCGAAGAGTTAAACCATGCTCAGTGAAAGTTCCAACTCCCACCAAAGGGTCCTGAATATGTTCTAACCTCTCCAATTTCAAGATTCAATTAGCGCACTTAAGTATTGAAGCTTTGGGACTTCAATTGTTGCACCAGAAAAACTATATACGACCCAACAAGTGTAACACATTTTCCCTAGTTAGTATCAGACTAAAATTAAAGCTTACCACCACTCAAACAAACAACTGGTTCAGTTGGTTCCTCGAAACCAACATAAATGGCCCTCAAACAGCACCTTTCTCCAACTTTATTGCAAGAAGCAACACATACTTCAATAAAGGGAAAAACTTTACATTTTTATCTACAAAACATAACATCACATATAGACCTCGATATTGTGATGGTTACATCACCCCTTGATCCTTTTACCAACCTACAGAAAGTGCTCTTATCAACGTGGTTATGTATAACTGAGCTAAGAACATCAATTTTGAAATAGAAAGGGAAAAGAAAGGCATGCAAAAGGTAGCTTAATGTGTCTAAACATATTGAGACATATCAAGATGTACGAAAAATTAATAACAGTACAAAATATTACCTAGGCATCTGCTCTTCTTTCATAACAAGATTGTCAACGTCTGCCTCAGAGTCTCCCATGCACTTTTCAATCTAAAAAAAATAAAATGATTTACCACTAGCTGGGTCACAGATCCTCCTCCCTTTCTCGGTTCTGTTATGGACTCCTGCGAGTCATACTGGAAGAAGGTACACACCGCAACCCGACCCACCAAAGCCGTAATTTTTTCATTATGGACTACTACGAGTGGTGGTGGTGGAACACGATAGACGGCGATGGTGGTGTTAGAGGAAAGACAACGGTGGTGGTGGAGGCTCGAAACATGTGGGTCTTGTAAAGGATAGAGCATTGGTGGAAGAGAAAGACCGAATGACTACTACAAGTAGTGGTGGAAGACGATAGCCCGCGGTGCTAGTGGTAGGGTGGTAGTGGTGGAAGAGGATAGATTGGTGGGAAAGCAATTTCAATTTTGGGAGAGAGATTTGATTTAGGGGAATGCGTGAAATTTTTGGGAGAGATTTTTGATTCCGGGAAAGGAGGGAATTTAATTTAATTGTTTTTTTTTTAGTTTTTTAGGGGACTGATGTGGCGTGAACCTGACGTGACAGATGAGATGGCATCTGCCACGTCAGTCGGAATGTGAGTCAACTTTTCAGTTGGTCAATGTAGTCTTATTGTTTTTCAGAACACATGATATCACCTTCCATTTAAAACAACACTTGCAAACGCCCATTAGTTCCAACTTCCAACTACACATGGGGCTCCTGCGGCTTATTCAATGTTTTTGAAATAGATTGTAAATAAACTTACTTTAACAAATAAACTAATTAGATTAAGACATAATAATTGTTAAATTATATAAATTTTAAAGTAAATATAAATTTTATATATATACAAAGTTGTGTTAAGATAAAATTAATAATTGTATCTGTATAATTATTAATATCAATTATAGATAGATGTCATTAAATCATTCATCCAACTTGAGAAGATCACCTGAATATTATATGATTTAATTATATTTTCAAGATTATCACCTTGTACATTTAATATTATTTTTGCAGACATGTCTTTGATATTCGATGTCAGTATTTTGTAGTGAATCGTGTATGATATTTAAGATCACCTGAATATTATCAAGATCAACTATTTAAACTTAAAATTTATACTGACCTTCCGCAATTTCTGTAACTTATATTCATTTTCAAGTTGCGTTGCGCTGGTATATTTATTTTATATATATATATATATATAATAATATATATATATATATATATATATATAAATTATTGGTTTTTTGTGTTTTAAATATATATCTTCTATATTGAAGTTCATTTTATATTGAATTGATAATTAAAAAATATATAAATAAAATATCCATAAATTAAACTCAAAGTCTATATCATATGGTTCTTCTCAAATATGTCACCATTTGAAATCTATAACCAAAGTGTAAAACTTTGTTAAGAAAAGCAAAAAAAAATTGCAGAATAACCCATTGGGTATTATTGATAAGTCTATAAATTAATCAGAGAAAGAGAAACCTTGTTGAAAAATGTGAATTTTTAAGCAAGAGACTTGCAGAGCCAAAGAAAAAAATTGATTTTGATTGTTGAGAAGAGAAAATGAATTATTATTATTATTATTATTATTTTAGAAATTAAAAAAAAAATTAAGAATTTTGAGAAAAGAACTCACATGGAAAGCAATAATAACTCCAACAGTATAATCTGAAGGCAACTTAATTGAAGTATTAAAGAAGCCATGAAGATAAAGGTCCTTTGACACAAATCTATTTGCTGCAATTAGAATTGACCACCACCTATAGTAGAAAAAGCATTTGATGATAATATCCTAAAGAAAGACGATAATTGTAAAACCCACAAATCAAACAACAAAATCAATCCAAAAATTAACAAAAAGAGATGAAACAAATACAATTAAAACTACATATCATATTTGTTTTCCTTTGTCATTACTAAAATTGAATTTGTTTTATGTGTGTGATGATGAAATGAATGGTTCGGTAGTAACTAATTCATCGTATAATATATCAAATTAAATTCCTATTTTTCTAGTTTCCAAATATTCAAACCGCTCATCAATTGGATTTTTATTGAGCAAGTTGTGGC